ATGGTGTATTGTCTTCATACTTGGCCACAACAACCCTTGGGACAAGACATTTTAGTACACCAGACTGACTTTGATCGTCATTCATAAATGACCTTGTCTTTCATTTTGATTGTTTCTTGCTATTAGTGGCTATAACTTTGATATTTTTGAGTGGATTGCCTTCAAACTTGAGCATAATAAACATTCAAGTTAACCAGAAAGACCTTGACCTTTACTCATAATGACCTTGGCCTTGGAGGTCAAATTATTGAAATTTTCATTTTTGTGCCCCCACTTTAGGGGGGGGGGAGGCATTTAATTGTAGCCTTGTCTATCCGTCCTTCCGGCAGTCCGTTCTCATTTTCATTTTGTGTCGAACGTAGCTCAAAAAGTAATTGACCTAGAGTCATGAAACCTTACAGGAGTGTTGATCAGCGTGTGTAGTTGTGCACCTGGGTATTTTTGTGTGGATTTATTTATTGTTTTTAGCTCACCAGAACCGAAGGTTCCGGTTGAGCTATTAGTATCAAAGGGGGAGATCCAGCGTCCGTATTGTGTGTTTCTATTGTTTGAATTGCGTGTTACTATTTTTTTAATTGCGTGTTACTATTTATAGAAATTGCGTGTTACTATTTTTAGAATTGCGTGTTACTATTTTTAGAATTGCGTGTTTCTATTTTTAGAATTGCGTGTTTCTATTTTTAGAATTGCGTGTTACTATTTTTAGAATTGCGTGTTACTATTTTTAGAATTGCGTGTTTCTATTTTTAGAATTGTGTGTTTCTATTTTTAGAATTGCGTGTTACTATTTTTAGAATTGCGTGTTACTATTTATAGAAATTGCGTGTTACTATTTTTAGAATTGCGTGTTTCTATTTTTAGAATTGCGTGTTTCTATTTTTAGAATTGCGTGTTTCTATTTTTAGAATTGCGTGTTTCTATTTTTAGAATTGCGTGTTACTATTTATAGAATTGCGTGTTTCTATTTATAGAATTGCGTGTTACTATTTATAGAATTGCTTGTTACTATTTATAGAATTGCGTGTTTCTATTTATAGAATTGCGTGTTTCTATTTATAGAATTGCGTCTTTCTATTTAGAGAATTGCGTCTTTCTATTTATTGAATTGCGTGTTTCTATTTATAGAATTGTGTGTTTCTATTCATATATATATACAAAATGGATAAACAAAACTAATGTGACAAGACAGACCAACTAAATTTATAAAAAGGAAACATTAAGATATGTTCAAACCTGTCTATGTTTGCGTTTAGAAAAAGTAAAAAGTCGAGCGTTGCCCCCACCCGACGGTGGCTCTTGTTATAGTTTTATAGCAATTTGAACTTGTAATTGGAGACTTTTCAATGAAAACAGCCGTTTTTCACAAAATGCTCATGAAGTAATGGGTTAAACATATTCTATGCTCAAATTTAATATTAGAAAATATTGACAATGGATAATTTCCAACACTGAAAAACAGTTGTTTCTGGTGAGCGAATCAGGGCCATCATGGCCCTCTTGTTAGAGTTAATGCCCTTGACTTAGTAAAATTTTGCAATTTTCAACTTGTGTCACACGTAACTCAAAATGTATTTGACCAAGAGTCATGAAACCTTACAGCAATGTTGATCAGCATGTGTAGTTGTGCACCTGTGTATTTTCAGGTGGATTTATTTAGTATTTTTAGAGTAATTGCCCTTGACTTAGTAAAATTTTGCAATTTTCAACTAGTGTTGCAGGTAACTCAAAAAGTATTTGACCTAGAGTTATAAAACTTTACAGGAATGTTGATCAGCATTTGTAGTTGTTCACCTGGGTATTCTCATGTGGATTTATTTAGTATTTTTAGAGTAATTGCCCTTGAGTTAGTAAAAATTTGCAATTTTCAACTTGGGTCACACAGAGCTCAAAAAATATTTGACATAGGCAGGGCTCGAGCTACTGGGCGATTCGGGCGAAATAGTCGCCGAATTCCGTCTGACTTCGCCGACATCCTACATGAAAGCGAAGATGAAGTCGCCCGATTTTATTGATCCATTATTGAAAATTACCAGCAATAACTGTGAATAACATGTTGTGTGTGTTTGCTTTGTTTACCCTCGCCGCCGGAAAAAGGGACTGTCATGCATCTCAATCAACGCGAAATGTCATTAATCCGTTTGTTTACCAACATGTCATAAAAGTCTAATTAACAGACACTCGAGGAACAATTAGACTCCGCCCACGGCGAGATTACCGATACGTGCGAGAAACCAATCGTAATTCACGTTTCAATCGAGTCGACATTATTAAACCAATCATTAAATCGCTAACATACAACTACCAGTAACAATTATTAATGATGGACGGATCAAACGTCAATTAAATTTTCACTATCGAATGATTGTCAGAATTAAGAGGACCGCTCGACATATAACTGTAACGGTAACTTTAAATGAAAGTTATGATAACCTTTTTTGTCGACGAGTTAAATTTGATAAAATTGACGGCGTATTACACTGTATTTATTACAAATGTAGTTAAATTAAAGATCGTTTCTTTCGTTATCTACTTTCATTTTCTTTACAACATTAGTGAATATGAATATAATGTCCGGCGCAAGCTTTTTAATAGTAAATCAGAAGGGAATAACTGTTAATCCACCCATGATATGATCCATGATAGGAATCAACTATGGCTTTTTTATCTTCATTTAATGCAATGGTTGCATTACATGATACTCATTCTTATTATTACTTGTTTCAAACTACTTTTAAATTAAAATTGAATATTCTGTTGTAACACAAATCCAATTCATTTAATAAGATATGTACAGTGAGTCAACATAATTGCAATAACATACAACAAACATCGATAAATGAATCTCCTCACTTCTCCATAAAGTCTCCCCACTTCTCCCTAAAGCAGCTGGAGGGAGAAGTGACTTCTCCCTAAATTTTGAACCTAGCTAGAGCCCTGATAGGGTCATGAAACTTTACAGGAATGTTGCTCAGCATGTGAAGATGTGCATTTGGGCTTTCGCTTGTGAATTAATATGTTCTGTCAGAGTAATTGCCCTTGACTTAGTAAAAATTTGAAATTTTCAACTTGTGTTGCATGTAGCTCAAAAGTATTTAACCTAGGGTCATGAAAATTTTCAGGAACGTTGATCAGCATGTTTAATTGTGCACCTGGTTATTTTTATGTGGATATATTTAGTATTTTTAGATTTATTGCCCTTGACTTAGTAAAAATTTGCAATTTTCAACTTGTATCACACGTAAATCAACAAGTATTTGACCTAGAGTCATGAAATTTACAGGAATGTTGATCAGCATGACTGTGTAGTTGTGCACCTGGGTTTTAGCTTGTGGATTTATTCTGCTTTGTCAGAGTTATTGCCCTTGACTTAGTAAAAATTTGAAATTTTCAACTTGTGTGACAAGTAGCTCAAAAAAAATTTGACCTAGGGTCATGAAACTTTACAGGAATGTTGATCAGCATATGTAGTTGTGCACTCTGGGTATTTTTGTGTGGAATTCTTTAGTATTTGCGATGTTATTGTCTTTGACTTAGTAAAAATTTGCAATTTTCAACTTGTGTCACACGTAGCTCAAAACTATTTGACATAGGGTCATGAAACTTTTAGGGAATGTTGATCAGCATGTGAAGTTGTGCTCCTGGGGTTTCGCTTGTGAATTAATATGTTTTGTCCAAGTTACTGCCCTTGACTTAGTGGAAATTTTCAATTTGTGTCATGCTTAGCTCAAAATGGTTTTAACCTAGAGTTATGAAACTTAACAGGAATGTTGGTCATCATATGTAGTTGTGCACCTTTGGTTTTGCTTGTGGATTTATCCAGAATTTGTAGAGTTATTTCCCTTGACTTAGTAAAAACGATTTCATTATGTTTTGTTATTGTTCCTTGAGTGCTTGAGTTAGAATCAACCAACTTTACAGGAATAATGATCAACATCACTGTGAAGCTATGCACCTGGGACTTTGCATGCGTTTTTTTTAGTTTTGTTAGAGTTATTGCCCTTGACTTACGTTAGTATAAATTTGCAATTTTCAACTTGTTGATGCATAGCTCAAAAATATTTGACCTGTAGGCCTAAAAGTTTACAAGAATGTTGGTCAGCATGTATACTTATGCACCTTGGGGTTCACTTGTGGATTTATTCAGTATTTGTAAAGTTGAGTGTGGGGGTACCTGAAATGTCCTATGGACACATTTTTAGTTAAAGATTTTTTAAACCGTTTATTTATTACTTTTAGAAAAAGTAACATGTCAAGCATTTGCCCCGCCCAGCGGTGGCTATTATTTATTTGCCAACATTCCTTAAAAAAACTTGTAGGCCATGGCCTTCACTGTCTATATTAAGCTACACCACTGCTATGTTAGACTCATGATATATTGAAACAGTATATCTGCAAACAATTTTGAGCTGTATTGATGAAATTCATTAAGTAAAAACTGTTTCAAGGATTTATGGGGCAGTTAATCATTTCATTTATTCTTTTTCAATGCCTCACATTAATGAGCCATGATCAATATCTATAAATTCTTTAAAGTTAACTTTTTGTTATGTTTTGCTTTAGCTGTGAACTATAAGCTTTAAGACATTTTAAGCATTTCATAATATCTTATATGAAAGATATGCTGTATTATTTCATCTTAATGAACTGCATTTTCACCAATTTTAGGACTGATTTCTTAGACCATCTTCTATTGTTTGTTATTTCAAAGAGGGCTGAATTGTACTTTTATGAATTAGAGTAATTTCTAATGATTTGATTCATTCAACAGTTGACACTTTGTGTCACTTTTCTTATTCAGAGGCTTGTGGACGTGTCCCAGCAACCCCTGCTCCGACCACAGTTCCGACCCCCACAGAACCAACAATTAATGGTAGTTTACGAGGGTTAGAGTGTAGATCAGATGAAGTAAATAAAACAGCATGTTTAAATCAAGGCACATGTTTTGTACTAGTCATAGAGGGCGAAAGAAAGGCTTCCTGCCAGTGAGTATTTTTTTGGTCATTTCAAGGTTGTAATAACTCTTGTAAGACCTCAGTGATATTTGTCAAGAGTTATTGCCCCCTGTGATTTTGAGATATACATGTATATACAATACAGTTAGAATTTGAATAAATATAATATCCTTACCTGAATATCAAGAAAAGGTTAGGGTCTGCTGTATCCCTGTAAAACATAGAGGATATTGAATGAGTGAATGTTTAATACGATATTTATTGAACGAGTTAAAGGGACTCCACTGAGGTTTTTTGACATGACGGGACTGAAAATATTTTTTCCAGATAAATGTTCCATTTGATGAAGGTTTAGACCACTAATCTTTGCGCAAAATTTCAGATCATTCGCGCACTTTGTTTTTCCACAATAATTATTCAAATGGTAAAAAAATGACCCAAAATGAGAAGCGTTTAAACGCTTTTCGCTCAAATCGGGCTAAGAGAAGCATAAAAATACGATTTTCAATTTATTTCAAAGTATATTCCTTAACTATCTTTGCATATATTTTTGTTTAAAGTGGCCCAGCTCATTTATGTAAGAAATTCAAATGTTAGGTTTTTAGGCTTTTAAACCTCAGTGGAGTCCCTTTAAATAAAATCATATTATGCGAGCGTTTTGCGAGCATAGTATTGTTTTATTCAAAAAGGCTCGCATAATGTTGTTTTATTCATTAAGTTCAATAAATTTAGTATTGAATCTACATGAATATAATATTATTTTTATCACATATCTAAAATGAGAACAGTAAACTGTTAAAGAGTCATTTTTAGCTCAACTTTTTTTGAAAAAAAAGTAGAGGTATTGTTATAGTCCTGGCAGCGTTGCTGTGGCCGTACCCGTTGCCGTCCGCAAACTTGTACCTGGATCATTACTTTTTTAGTTCTTGGTGTATTGTCTTCATACTTGGCCACAACAACCCTTGGGGCAAGACCTTTCAGTAGACCACACTAACCTTGACCTTCATCCATAAATGACTTTGACCTTCAAGGTCAAAAGTTCAAATTTTGCTTGTTCTAGCTATTATTGGCTGTAACTTTTGTTATTTTTGAATGGATTGTCTTCAAACTTGAACATAATAATCTTCAAGGATATCTCTTAAAAATAACCAGACAGACCTTGACCTTCACTCATAAATGACTATGACTTTCAAGGTCAAATCATTGAAATTCTCATTTTTTAGCTTTTTTTTTTTTTTTTTTTTTTTTTTGAAAAAAAAAGTAGAGGTATTGTTATAGTCGCGGCGCCGTTGCCGTCCGCAAACTTGTACCTGGATCATAACTTTTTTATTTCTTGGTGTATTGTCTTCATACTTGGCCACAACAACCCTTGGGACAAGACCTTTCAGTAGACCACACTAACCTTGACCTTCATCCATAAATGACCTTGACCTTCAAGGTTAAATGTCCAAATTTTGCTTGTTCATGCTGTTATTGGCTGTAACTTTGTTATTTTTGAATGGATTGTCTTCAAACTTGAACATAATAATGTTCAAGGATATCCCTTAAAAAAAACCAGACAGACCTTGACCTTCACTCATAAATGACTTTGACTTTGAAGGTCAAATTATTGAAATTTTCATTTTTTTTGGCTATTATTGGCTGTAACTTTGTTATTTATGAATGGATTGTCTTCAAACTTGAACATAATAATCTTCAGGGATATCCCTTAAAAATAACCAGACAGACCTTGACCTTCACTCATAAATGACCTTGACTTTGAAGGTCAAATTATTGAAATATTCATTTTTTTGGCTATTATTGGTTGTTATTTTTGAATGGATTGTCTTAAAACTTGAACATAATAATCTTCAAGGATAACTCTTAAAAATAACCTGACAGACCTTGACCTTCACTCATTAATGACGTTGTCTTTGAAATAATTGAAATATTATTGAAATTTCATTTTTTTGGCTATTATTGGTTGTTATTTTTGAATGGATTGTCTTAAAACTTGAACATAATAATCTTCAAGGATAACTCTTAAAAATAACCTGACAGACCTTGACCTTCACTCATTAATGACATTGTCTTTGAAGGTCAAATTATTGAAATTTTCATTGTTATGGCTGTAACTGACTGTAACTTTGCTATTATTGAAGGGATCAACTTCATATTATAACAGAACATTCTTAAGGACCAGACCTTGTTGTTTATCAAACCCAAATTTGCTTGGGTTCTTTAATGACCTTGACCTTGAAGGTTAAATTACTGAATTTTCTCAGATTTGTGCATTAAATGACCATAATTATATATTTATTGGTGTGTGTGTGTGTGTATATATATATATATATATATATATATACAAAAAATGAAAACAAGTGCCGGAAAAAAGTCACATATAAATAAAACAAATAACACAGTCCATGAGTTAACTTATTTAATTATTTGCCAACCGGTTTCTCTTATGATCATCAGGGCAAATGTGACGTCGTCGCATAGTAACGACGTTTTTGTGTACACATGTGTACGCATAATCTAAAAATAGTAACGTCATAATATAGTATTTAGTTTTGGATTAAAAACATCAATAAAATAGCGTTCTTTACATAACCTAGCTGAAACGTTTTTACTGTGAAATTTATAAAATGGGAAAATACCAAATTTCGGGTCTTTTTTAGAGCATTTATCTAAATGTTCACTTAAAGGTAATTGTCTTGTTGATGACACAAAGTGACAGGGTGAGCTTTTGTGATCGCTTTTCTTCCGGCGTCCGGCGTCCGTCAGTCGTCCGTAAACTTTTACTTTGAATGACATCTCCTCATAAACCGCTGAGCCAATTTCATCCAAACTTCACAGGAATGTTCCTGTGGTGGTCACCTTTAAAAATTGTTCAAAGAATTTAATTCCATGCAGAACTCTGGTTGCCATGGCAACCGATAGAAAAAACTTAAAATATCTTCTTTTAAAAAACCCAAAGAGGTAGAGCTTAGATATTTGGCATGAACCATTCATTTTTCAACCCTTTTGTCTAAGTCATATTTTAATTTCTTTTTGCAATAAATGTATTTTAGTAATTTTATTATGCAAATCCATGAATATAATTCTGAAAATCAGAAATTAAAACAACACATTGTCTTAAATATATCCTTGAAATATGTAATTAATGTAATTTAGTATTACTATTTTTGCATTTAATTAATATCCAAACAAAGATAACTTCAAGGTCAAAATTTTAAGCAAAACAGGAATCATTTAACAATAGTTCCCCAATTCTTTTAGACATTTTATATTTAAAAAAAAACCACACAACAAATTTAAAACATTTTGAAAAATCATACCTATACAGAGAAAGACACAATTATGATAAAAGAGCTTTAATTTAGTTGCCAATAAGAAATTTACACACACTGACAAAGTGTTTTCACACCTGCATAGATAAGAAAGACATGATCATAAATTGGTAATTGAACACGTCACCAGTTAAGATTATGTTTAAATCTACATTAAAATACACAGAACATTGACACATAAAATTGCTGTCCTGTTTTTAGAGGATTTTTTATGCATGTTTATCATTAGAAACCATAGAAAATCGTCCGGTTTTCGGAATTCAGAGGTTCCTGTATTCAGAGGATTTTTTTCAATGAACATAATTATAAGGAGAAAATACGGGACTTTTAAAATGGTCCGGTTTTCAGAGGATTCCGGTTTTCAGAGGGTCCGGTTTTCAGAGTTTTTACTGTATATATATATATAAATGCGTCTCTATATAAATGTATCTATATAAATATATATAAATGCGTAGATAAAATAATAATGTTTAAGAAATAACAAACTCCATGTATATTCGGTAGCGCTTTCAATGCTTTCTTCGCATATCTTCAGCCAAAACTTTAATAAACAATAAACATATAAACAAATGACGTAAAGTCATGAAAAAAAAGCGGGAACGTTAAATGATAACGTATTTCCCGGCAAACACAATTTGGTTATTTATACTGTAAAATTATAATATTACAGACATTAAGCATAATCCGTACAATCTGGCAGTGAATTAATGACATTTATTAAAGGGAGGTAATAAAATTCACAAGTTAATGATTTAATGGCCACAAATTGTATGGTAATTAACAATTTTTACTGAATAGATATTGGTTAATAAACGAACAAATACGGGAAATACGTATATATATATGCCCTTTGTCCGGGACATAACTCGGAAACCATAAAAGGTATCAACAAGAAACTTGTAGGTTGATAGATCGCATTGATTAGAAGTGCAGTGCAAATAACAGTAACTCTGCCTTGCCTTATTTTGGAATTATTGCACTTTTTCCAAGGACATAACTCTGAAACTACAAGAGGTGTACTTTCCTGTGTCCAAAACCTACATTGGGAGCATCACCCGGCTCAAACCTCAAAACTTCATACTTCAAATATATGTTCCTTATTATCAACCACATCTTATGTGAGAAGGTTTATAACTCTAGCACCAATATTTTCAGATTTATCTCCCCTTGAACTTAGAATTTTCCTTAAAAAATATTATTTTTTACTGTAACTTCTTTATTACTTAAGGGCTCAACTTCATACTTCAAATATATGTTCCTTATCATTAACCACAATTTACGTGACAAGGTTCATAACTCTTGTACCAATGTTGCAAGAATTATCTCCCTGTTAACTTAGATTTTTTACTTGAAAAATATTACTTTTTACTATAACTTCTTTAGTTTTAAAGGTATCTTCCTCAAACTTCAAATACATATTCCTTATCATCAACCAGATCTTATGTGACAAGGTTCGTTATTCTCGAAGCAATATTTTCAGATTAATCACCCTTTGAACTTAGAAATTTCTGAAAGAAATATTATAACTTCTTTACTTTTTAAGGTATCTACTTCAAACTTCAAATATATATTTCTTATCAACACACATGTTGTGTGACAAGGTCAATATTTGTTTCCCAGTAAATTTATTATGATAAAATAAACGGACTTACCCAAGAATCGTTGTTGATACGTGAAATAAAAGTATTCCTCAACACTGCTGAATTTTATAACAATTTTTAACTCCTTTAACCCATTACTTCATGAGCATTTTGTGAAAAATGGCTGTTTTCATTGAAAAGTCTCCCATTACAAGTTCAAATTGCTATAAAACTATAAAAACTGCTTCAATACTAATCAAACTTGGCACAAATGTTGACTGGACCATTGCCTTTGCAACAGCATGCTCAGGCTTAAATTTTCTGTTACCATGGCAACGAGGGGACATCTCAAAATTGCCAAATATCACTATTTTGTGTTGATTTTTTCCATCTAAATTGATTTCAAAGTGCTGCAACTTCTCAATTGATTGAGATAGAGTCAAATGCTTTTCAGCGTTGGTTACACGTTACATTATGATCGATCTGGGGTCATTTTTAGCCTCTCACAAGTCCAAAATTTTCTTGGCGATGAGGGGGACTGCCGCCCCCTTCAAACCCCCCCCAAACAGAAGGGGGCACAACCCCCTAGCAACCCCCTGATGTATCTTTTGGTTGGAGGGCTGCTCCGAAAAAGTGATCACTTTTTTTAACAACATTTCTCAAACAAAAACAAGTGTTGGGGCCTAAATAAGGCATTTTTTCACCATTTGAGACAACAAAAAGGGGGAGGGGGTGAAAAAGGCGTGTATATCGCGTAATGGGTTAATACTTAAAGATAACACTTTTCTTGGGATTGCAATTTTTTGTGATTGATAAGCCCAAGTCTTAGCCTTGATATGCTATGGTTGATGCTGCATCATCTCTCTATGGGGCCCCAAAGGGAAGTTATGTGGGAGACGAAATAGACTTATATTGGCAAAATTATCCCTTTTGAAAAGACTGTCAAAAAATATAACTACATCGTATCATATTTTCTTTACAAATTATTATTTTCTTAAAAAATTAACATTTCTTTTTAATGAAATGTTAGTATTTGATGTAAAATAATATTTTGAAGTTTATGGTTATCTTTGAAACAAGTATATAATTGATTTGAAGGGAAAAAACGATGGATAAAGCACTATAAACTGCGTCGGATCTACAAAACTTTATAAAAATTCTGACCCGCTTCAAGTTGCAAGTTCACTATTACTTTTACCGAACTAAGCGGAAAAAAGTGGAGCTTGTTAAAATATATATCTGGTTTTCAGGTATTTCCAACAAAAAGAATAATAAACAAAAACCTACCATTTTCGATCCAAGATGGCAGCGTTTGTTTACGTTTTGTAGGATACGACGCAATTTTGACTCCCAGCCCTGGACATTCACCACTTAATTTCAGTCCATTTATTTTAAGCCTTGTATATCTAATTATTCATGCAAAATAATATTTGTTAACTAAAAAAAGGAATGCGCAGGTCAAGTTCAAATTTGTTTATGGTTCTATGATTTTTGGCAGAATTATGCCCCTTTCACTTTGAAAATAATATGAAATTTTCAGTTTCCATTCTTTATCTCCCAACAGTATTACACATTCAACTCAAATTTGACATATGGATATGTCAAAGGAATGCGCCGGCCAAGTTCGAATTTGGTCATGGTTCGATGATTTTTGGCATTATAAAAGTTTTGCTCCTTTCACTTTGAAAATAATATGAAATTTTCAGTTTCTGCTCATTATCTCCACCAAGGGTATTACACATTCAACTCAAATTTGACATATGGATACATCAAAGGAATGCGCAGGTCAAGTTCGAATTTTGTCATGGTTCAATGATTTTTGGCAGAGTTATGTCCCTTTCACTATGAAAATAATATGAATTTTTCAGTTTCCCTTCATTATCTGCCCAACTGTATTACACATTCAACTCAAATTTGACATATGGATATGTCATAAGAATGGGCAGGTCAAATTCGAATTTGGTCATGGTTTAATGATTTTTTGGCAGAGTTATGCCCCTTTCACTTTGAAAATAATATGAAATTTTCAGTCTCCCCAATGGTATTACACATTCAACTCAAATTTGACATATGGATATGTTAAAGGAATGTACAGGTCAAATTCGAATTTGGTCATGGTTTAATGATTTTTTGGCAGAGTTATGCCCCTTTAACTTTGAAAAAAAAGGAAAATTTCAGTTTCCGTTCATTATCTCCCCAACAGTTGTACATATTCAACTCAAATTTGACATATGGATATGTCATAAGAATACACTGGTCAAGTTTGAATTTGGCCATGGTTTGATGATAGCTGACAGAGTTATCCCTCTTGAAGTTTGAAAAAAATCAGAAATTTTTAGTTTCCGTTCATTATCTCCCCAATGGTTGTACACATTGAACTTAAATTTGACATAAAGATACATCTTAGGAATAAGCAGTTCAAGTTTGAATTTAGTCATGGTTCAATGATTTTGGGCAAAGTAATCTCTCTTGAATGTTTGAAAAAATTTGAATTTTCAGTTTCAGCACTCATACTTTTGTGGAAATGTATGTAGTCATGATTTTGGCTACAAATATGCTATAAATACACTATATGAATAGTTTTAAGGGCTTTGAACTTAAAATGAAAAAAATAGTTTGTGCAAACAAATTTGGAACTAAATATTAAAACATCTGAAATTTTGGCTGCATGCAGGGGCATCCGTGGCGTGACGACACATTTCTAGTTCACAAATGTAATCTGGTTTTTTTTTTATGCCACCGCAGCGTCCACGATGCAGTGGCATATAGCGATTAACTTGTGTGTCTGTCTGTGTGCGTGCATGTGTGTGTGATAGATTATATAGTTAACTTAAAAAATCTTCTTGTGATTAACCAATAGTTCAATTTCAACCAAACTTAACAGGATTGTTACTTGGGTGAAGGGCTTTCAAAGTTGTTCAGAGAATTTGATTCTATGCAAAAATCTGGCAACCAAAAGGAATTATAAGAAAAAATTTAAAAAATATTCTTGTAAAGATCCACATGGGTGAGCATAACTATTTTGCATAAGGCATTGTCTGGTAGACGCCTCTACCAAGATTGTTGGAATTATAGTCCTGGGATCAAAATTGGGCCCACCCCAGGGGGTGTCATTGATTTTCACCATGTAATAAATCTCTGACAAAAAGACTGGTCACTCTGTCAGCAGTTAACCACGAAATAAAGAAACATGTACAACAAAATCGCTAAGATTAGATTTGCTAAATTTAGATTACTGACAAAATCGCAAAAATTGCCATACGCAAAAATAACCTGATATATGGTATATGAATCAAATTGATGTTTTCTTTATATGAAAATATAATGAATGAGTGTTCGACATTTTTCTATTGAGTGAAATTCATTGTCAAATATTAATAAACAAACATTATTCTTTGTGTTATAGATGAAATTTGATTAATGATTTTGTAATTCATCTGATTAATCAATTTTAATCATAACCTTACAATTCATACTTCATTATTAGCTTTTTTTTAATCAAATAATGTTCAAACATTATTTGATTAAAAAAGCTAATTTCCAACTTTCACCCATGTAGTTGCTTTTTGATATAAAAACAATCTACTCCTACAGTCTAGAATGCAATGTTCTTAATTGTAAATAGTATTTATTTTATAGTATTGCTTTATATAACATTATCCTAAAGACATTATCCTAAAGGTACAGTTCATAAATGATTAATCAATATAATTTTATATTGAATACTTTTACTAATTGATGCAAAATAAATTATGTCCTATTTAGTACCTTATAAATCAATATTAAATCACCTAATGTTATCTATTAGATAATAGTATAGTAATTGTGAAAATTAAGTTATATGAGATAACCAAAACGTTTTTCTATATGTTACAGTTGCACATATGAATATGAGGGCGTACGGTGCCAGCAGTTGAATATTGAAGTTATTGTTCCAAGTAAGCATTGCTACAAATTCTACTTTAATATATTATTGTTAACAGATATATTAAAATGTTGAACATTTATTTTTCACTAGCTGCACAAAATGGTACACAGGAAGACGATGTCAACATATCAACTCAGACCTGATTTTCTCGAGTAAGATAGTATCACATAACCCTAGATGTTTTTATATGATGTTTAAACTAACTTCAGAAGTAACATGGACTGGTTATCCTATGACTTTGTGTTTCTTTGAAGTGATGAGTAAACAATATGCACCAGTTTCCTAATTATCAGTTTTATGATTCAGTAAATCTTTTATTGAAGTTTTCCTGCATTTTTGATTTATACTCACATTTTTTAAATGAAACATCATACCTGATACATTATCATACATTATCAGACAAGATGTAGTTTTTTGTTTTTGTTGTTTTTTCTTCAAAATTTATAATGGGAATAAAAACAGAATTACTGAATCAAGTTTTGGCTAGCCTTTGTTTAAGTCTTAGATGACCCTTTATGCTCATCTGAGAATTTGTGATTACTATTTTCCGGTTTTTTTTGCACCCATATACATATTATTATTTTTATTTTTACCCACACATATATATAAAAGTGTCGGAACTAGAAAAATTATACTAAAGGATAACTGACATTAACTTAATTTATTGCCTACTGGTTTCTATAATCATCAGGGCAAATAAACATAAAACCATAGTTAAATCATTTGACTTTATTTTTATGTACACGTGTATGCAACGTAAAAAATGTCTACGTCATCAATTTTTATGGTTTAAACACATCAATAAAATGAAGCTCTTTTGATTACCTAGCTGATACATCAGTATTATAGAATTTGTAAAAAGGAAATATGGAAAATTTAGGAGTATACTGTTACAACAAATATCTAAATGTGCACTTAAAGGAATTGATGTAAAACCCAATCAAAACTAAGAAACAAAAATGAATGGATGCTGCAAGAACAATTATTTTTCCCCAAACTTGGGGATATAAAACATAGAATAAAGATAAATAAATATAGATAAATAAATAAAACAAGAAGACAGATCTTTGAATCTCTGTTTAATATGTTTGTAAAAGCATGGTAATGCTGTCAAATTTTCTTTAATGATGAGAATAACCACCAATCAAAGTAGGAGTTTACTGAAACCTTTTTGAACATAAAAGGTACGTTGGTTAAAATGTAGCATTCATATAAAATAGTTCCTTTTATTCCTACCTTTTAAATGAAAACGTTCCTACTTTTCCTAACTTTTTTGCTAAACTTTCCTATTTTTTCATAATTTTTATTTAGGCTAGTTAAAGGCCTGTAGTATATTGTGTAAATGCCCAGATAGATTTTATAATTTTCAAAAACATTTACTATTTGACAAATGATGTTCATATTGTAATTTTTACATTTTTACACAAACAAGGCCTTTTCTGCAATTAGACATTTTTTTCCCATCAAACTCAATGATTTAAGAGCTTGAATGATTAATGGAAACTATCAATAGATAATTCGTATATAAATAAAAACCAGACAAGATTTACATGGAAACTTACTTTATTGATAGAGATATTACTTAGATAACTTGCAATATTATTGTGAAGATTTAGTGGTTTATTTATTAAGAAAGTCTCAAATACTTTTTCCCCTAATGTTTTATAAATAATTGTTTAAAGTCAGTATCATACATTTAAAAAAAATGTTTGTGCTTGTCAATAATGATAATATAATGATAATTTTGACATTGTCTGGTTTAATAATAGGAGGTCGAAAAATTAACTGAGATCAACATGAACATACTACTCTATAGTAGTTATTTCTCAGTAGTCAGTAGAGCAAATAAATTACCTAAGTCCATTAACATGCACATTTAAGTTTTTAAAGACGACCATATTATGCTCCTCCATTGTTTTCCATGACCTAATTTGTTCATGCTTATTTATGTGATATATTTATTTTCATTTCTTCTTTTGTCATTTTTTTTTTTGTCCATGTGAATTATTGTTTAATTTATTCACACATTTAAACACCATTTTTATATTCAATTCTAATAATCACTTCATTTTTTACCTTCCTTAGTAATGATTAGTTAAAAGTTACAATGCCAGGAATTAATTTGTTTGCCTATAAACAAATGGCCTGCTCCCATTCTCTGTTTATTGTTGGATGTTACTGTTGTACCTAACAGCTGTGAGCTTCATCTAATAATCATTTTATAAAACATTTTATTGTTAGACAGAAACAGGTTGAAGACTTGCAAAAATAACTATTATAGACCAAGCTTTTGTCTGAATGATTTGTTCTAGACCAAATATGTGTTATTGTGTTTTTTTAATTATTTGTTTTTTTTACCTATTCTATTTGCATTATCTGTTCTGGACTGATTTTACTTGGGTCAGTTAGTGTACAAGATGAATTTTACTGGAATCGCTCATAGATCTACTAGATGACCATGTTTAGGAGAGTAACTAAATTATAAATTTTAGTTTATAACAATCTCCTTTTATAACGGTCCGTCAGTCCACATCTTGGTTCCCGGACAATAACTATAATTTGGAATGAGGTATTGTAATCAAACTTAGTATATACATTTGTAGCAACCTTATGTTGAGACCCCGGTTGGTATTGCATTTGGACCCCCTGGGGTCAAGGTCAAGGCCACCATTACTAAAAATAGAAAACTGGTTTCCGAACAATAACTAGAGTTAGGAATGAGATATTGTAATCAAACTTGGTGTATAGCAAGCTTATATGAAAAACCCGTTTGGGATTGCAATAAATTGAAATAATATTATTCTTTGTACACAGTTGATACTTCATGTACTAAAGATTGAGTTCAAAGTTTTCTATAGACCACTTATTTTTCAAAAAATTGCTTGTGGGGGTATTAATCACCTTCTGTGATAGGTCTAGTTATCACTCTAAACGAAGTTTAGGGTGGGGGGTATATTGGAGTCACCCTGTGGTGAACCATAACTCCATCTTGATTAATTACAGAGTTATTGCCCTTTGTTACTTTTCCTTGTCTGGAGCTTAACTTGAAAACTACTGGTTGGAATTCAATACAATTTCATACAATGGTTAATATATTGAGAGAACCAGAACTCTATTTGGACTTATTACAGTTATTGCCCTTTGTTACTTTTTTGTCCAGTGCATAAATTGAAAACTAGTAGTTGGAATTCAATACAACTTCATACAATGGTCAAGCGCAATGAGAGGAAGTCCAGTGCATAACTTAAAAAAACTAATATTTAGAATTTAATGCAACTTCATGCAATGGTCAAGCGCGATGAGAGGAAGTGCAGTGCTTAAGAAGCTTAACTCTTTCTGGACTTTTTACAGGAGTAATTCAATAAAACTTCATCAATAGTCAACCACATTGAAAGGAAATGCAACATACTATCTTTAATTGCCCACAACCATAACTCTGTTTCAATTCTTTTACAAGGAATTCTGTTACTAGTAAGTTCCTAGTTTCGAAAGCAGTCTTAAGAAATATCAATGAAAATACATTGAAAATGTAACAATGCTGAATAAAAGTGTCAAATATAAGGTAAATGGTTTAAATCAATTTTTAGCTCACCTATCAAACTGACAAGGTGAGCTTTTATGATCACAGTTCGTCCAGGGTCCATCATCTGTCAGTAAACTTTTACTTTAAACAACATCTCCTTATAAATTGATAAGCAAATTTCAAGCAAACTTCACAGGAATGTTTCTTTGGTGGTACCCTGTAAGAATTGTTAGCTCACCTGACCACAAAGTGGTCAAGGTGAGGTATAGTGATTGGTCTATGTCCGGCGTTGTGCGTCTTGCGTCGTCAACAATTAGGGTTGTCTAGCAGTCACAGTCATCAAAGTTTGTCAGAATGTTTGTCTCAATGAAATACAGGTCAAGTATGAAGATGGGTCATCTCGGGTCAAAAAACTAGGTCACAGGAGCTAAAAATAGAAAAATCTTGTTAACACTCTAGTGGCTGCAGTTTTAATTCAAATGTCCTGAATATTGGTCAGGAAGGTTGTTTTGATGATTTCTAGGTCAAGTATGAATATGGGTTATCTCTGGTAAAAAACTACTGGGATGTAAGTGAGACCCCAGCTTTAGATATTTAGCATAATACATCTTCTAATATGTGTCTACCAGATTTTTTCATATAAATGCCCTGGGGTCAAAATTGCCCCCACTCCAGTGGGGTTATTGATTTTCCTCCAGGCCTCAACACTAACTTTTTAGCAGGTGGTAAGCTGGACCACTGGATTTGAAATTCAGGTGGTCCTTCTGGAAGTCAGGTGGTTCATCATTTTTAGGGGGGGATTTAGATTTACCTTTGTCCTTCCATCCGGATGTCTGTCCGTCAGTCTGTCCGGTCTCATTTTGCCGTCCGTTCTCATTTTGTGTCACACATAACTCAAAAAGTCTTTGACCTAGGGTCATGGTAAAAATGGTTTCCGATCAATAACTAAAGAATGCTTAGGTCTAGGAACTTGTAACTTGGTATGACGTTCATGACCAGCAGATGACCCCAATTGATTAGGGTAGAGGGGTCGTAGGTCAAGGTTACATTGACCTTGTAGGTAAAAATGGTTTCAGATTAATAACTAAAGAACGCTTAGGTGTAGGAACTTCAAACTTGGTTTGATGATTGTTCATGACTAGCAGATGACCCATATTGATTTGTGGGTCAAGGGGTCAAAGGTTAAAGTCACATTAACCTTGTAAGTAAAAAACAGTTTCTGAGTAATAACTAAAGAACACTTAGGCCTAGGAATTTCAAACTTAAGTATGATGATTGTTTATGACCAGCAGATTACCCCTATTGATTTTTGGGGTCAATGGATTAAAGGTCAAGGTCACATTGGGCTTGTAGGTAAAAACAGTTTCCGAGTAATAACTAAAGAACGCTTAGGCCTAGGAACTTCAAACCTGGTATGATGATTGTTCATGACCAGCGGATGACCCCTATTGATTTTGGGGTGAAGGGGTCAAGGTCACATTGACCTT